GGCGGCGAAGAGGCCTTGGAAGCCGCGTCTGGCGGCGAAGAGGCCTTAGAAGCCGTGTCTGGCGGCGAAGAGGCCTTAGAAGCCGTGTCTGGCGGCGAAGAGGGCTTGAAGTCCACAGCTGGCGGCGAAGAGACCCCGGAGACCGCGTCTGGCGGCGAAGAAGGCTTGGAGTCCACAGCTGGCAGCGAAGAGACCTCGGAGGTAGCGTCTGGCGGTGAGGAGAGCGTAGAGGCCAAGTCTGGCGGCGTAGACGGCGTAGAGGACTTGGGGCACTGGAGAACCGCAGCGTGCGACGACCATGGAGGCGACCCCTCTGGAGATGCGGAGAGCGCCGACCCCTCTGGAGATGCGGAGAGCGCCGACCCCTCTGGAGATGCGGAGAGCGCCGACCCCTCTGGAGATGCGGAGAGCGCCGACCCCTCTGGAGATGCGGAGAGCGCCGACCCCTCTGGAGACTTGGAGAGCGCCGACCCCTCTGGAGACTTGGAGAGCGCCGACCCCTCTGGAGACTTGGGAGAGCGCCGACCCCTCTGGAGACTTGGAGAGCGCCGACCCCTCTGGAGACTTGGAGAGCGTCGACCCCTCTGGAGACGTGGAGAGCGTCGACCCCTCTGGAGACGTGGAGAGCGTCGACCCCTCTGGAGATGTGGAGACCTGTAGCTCTGCATCAGACGGCGAAGAGACCTGTAGCTCTGCAGCAGACGGCGAAGAGACCTGTAGCTCTGCAGCAGATGGCGAAGAGACCTGTAGCTCTGCAGTAGACGGCGAAGAGACCTGTAGCTCTGCAGCAGACGGTGAAGAGACCTGGAGCTCTGTAGCAGACGGCGAAGAGACCTGGAGCTCTGCAGCAGACGGCGAAGAGACCTGGAGCTCTGCAGCAGACGGCGAAGAGACCTGGAGCTCTGCAGCAGACGGCGAAGAGACCTGGAGCTCTGCAGCAGACGACGAAGAGACCTGGAGCTCTGCAGCAGACGGCCAAGAGACCTTTGGTGCGGTGAAGTTGATGGGTGCAGGATGAGTGATGGTGACCTTGGGTGTGCTGAGAGTCCTTATTTCTATTAATAATTTATTGTACTCTGGGAGCTGAACGAGACCAGGCCATGAAAGCAAAAACTTCTCCATCATAGATAATATAACTTCTGAACTGTCCGGGTTATTTCTTGCAGTAGTAATTGAATCTAATAATGACTGGTTTATGAAAGCGAGATCCTGGGGTGAATATGAGATTGATGGGCCAGTTTCTTTAAGTGAGGGTGTGGAGTCAGGTGACGCCCCCACCGGAAACCTGAGAGGTGGGGCAGCGGAACACGCCCCCACAGAGTCACTGGTAGCATGCCCTATAGGTACGGTCAGGCCGGGTGGGACAGCCGTGGCACGGTGTGACGGCGAGAGGCCGGACTCCGTCCCCACCAGGAACCTGGAGGGTGAGGCCACGGAATCCGCCCGTGACGCCACGTGGACCGGACCCGCCGAACTGAACAGGAGTGGACCGGAGCTCCCGCGGGACGTCGGACCTTGCCCGCACCGAAAACCTGAGAGGTGAGGCGGCGGATCCGGCTCCCACAGAAACACCAGAACCAACTCTAAACTTCTGCTCAGCCGACGAGACCGGCCCGGTCGCCGCGGGCTGCCCTCGGGACCGCTTCCTACCTCCCCGGCGACGACGGGTGAGTCGAGGGACCGGAACAAAACCGAACTCCTCCTCGATCTCTTCGTCCTCCCCCGACGTCCATCCCGAGTAACCGGGTGAGGCGGACTCAGAAACAGTGGAGCGGTGGCTTCCCCGGTACCGAGCTCTGTCCTCCTCGAGGACCAGGAGTGGAGAGGACAGGATTTCCACCTCCTGGTCATAACATCCTTGTGGGCGGACGGGCCTAGTCCAAAACCCGCCGCACCGGATTGTGGATTTACTCATCTCGAGAGGCTCGGAGGAGAAAAAGAAAAAAGGTGAGCTGCCGAGAGAGCCCTGCCCGCTGGGTTCTAATGTGTGGTCGCGTCGTAATGTCAGGGTTTGGTGGACAGGAACGAACCCAGTAGTGCAGACAGGACTCAACTCGGCAGATTACAAAACCAAATACTTTAATGATGAAAAAAGTAACAAAACAATAAGCTGACGTGGCAGCAACACTTACATAAACTAGACGACTCAGGAGGGATACTCAGACGGGACTCAGGAAGCTCAGGAAAACTCAGGAGACACAGGAGAACGCTGAAGACCCAACGAATACGACGCGACGAGGAACAAGACAGAACAGACAGCTTTTATACAAGGACAAAACGAGACGTGATTACAAACAGCTGTGACGAGACAAGGGTGACACCAATTAAACTGAAGAGAACACACAAGGGAAACACAGACACAAACAGAG